GATCCCAGAAAACGGAACAAGGCAAGAGCAACAAAATAGGAGGGATAAATACTTGAAAGAGGAAAAGTTGCAGTATTTACAGTTGTGATCTCCATCTAGAAAACACAGGAGTAGCAGCTGGCAAACCGTTAGGACTAATCAAGTTCAGGAAGGAGGCCAACAGCGCTGAGACTAGGGAGTAAGGCAGCCGGGGTGTGAAATTTAAGGAGGCGCTCACTCATAGGCCCACCCTGCCCCTGCCTGACAGAGTGTCTTTTTGAGTTTACACCTTAAGTGCCGCACTGACCTCACCCAAATCTTAGCCCTGGGATCCAGGTACAGAATCAACATCTAAAAATCACTAGCTTTCCTATGTACCAGTGTAGAAGACATTTGTCATCTCCTTGGCCCTCCAGCCCTAGACAGGCTCTCTGTTTTGAGGGGACTCCCCCTGTTGTGTGAGTCTGGAAGAACCTGTCTCCCTCTAAGGAACTGAAGGGGCCAGGTATTTGGTCCTATCCCTTGGAGGTTAGAGTGTTGGCACATGACCTAGGTAAACCAGTTGCGTGCTCCTGCCCAGGCCTGTGACTCTTGAGAGAGGGACAGAGAGATCCCGAAATAGTAGAGAAATTATTCACAGTGGAGGCAGCCATGTAAGAGCCCTGTGGAGAGCCACCGTGGGAAGTCCAGCCTTAGCTTTGGTGGCTGTGTCTCCTGGGGCTGGTGACATTCAGCAGTGGAGGTGGAGGAGGCCTGGCTACGTACAGCGGTTTCACTGCCTTCCCTCCCTTGGTTCCTTCCAATTTTCTGAAACTTGATGTCCTTCCAATTTCTTTGCTGCAACTAAGGAGGACCTGATGACTACACATATAAAATAGCTGTGGGCTAGCAATAGCTAGCTGGAAAATACAGACGGTAGAATGAACACGTACATTTAACTCCTCTCTCTTCTGAAACCTTATGAAAGTGACAGAAAGGTGAGGTGTTTTTTTTTTTTCAAGGAATAAATTCATAAGGAATAAGCGAATGAAAGAGGAGACAAAAGCGAGAAAATTTGAAGCTGGAAAGCAGGGAGCTAAATGATTTAGCAGAACCAGGAAAGTTAGATCTGAACCCAGGAAGGGCGAAAAACTAGGAGCCCCCTGATGTACACCACAAACCCCCTAAAACTCAAGAAAATGGCAGTTCCAGGTATCTCTGGAAGTTGAAGTGCTGGTGGAACTTGCAACGGGATTGGTTGAAAAATCTCTTTAAGAAGCATTTAAACCCAGACTTTCTCCCTAACTCCAACACAGATTGGGCTTTTTTGGCAGGAGCCAATTGGGCTTCATGGAGCCCAAAGTACCTACAATTTTAGGGACCTCTGTAAGAAAAAGAACACAGTTTTGAACACAAAATGCCCATGGCCACCCTAATACCACCCAAGATGGGGGAAATTATGACAGAGGGGTAGTTTCAGTGAAAAGACACAGTGGTCTTAAGTGATTATGGCTAAAAAATGTTACTTTTGCCAATTTTACAAAAATATGTGACCATGTGAACACATGGCTAGCGCCTCTCCCAGGGCCTTGGAAGGGGCCATCCCTACACGTGAGGGGCCCTAAAATTTAACCTTCCTTCAGGGAAACCCACCTCTGCACAAATGGCTTGGGTCAATTATCCTCGAGGAAAGGGGGCCATCTTCAAGGGACGTGAGGCACAAGATTAAGTCACAGAGAAACTGAAAATAGTGTCCTGGTGGAATATTTTACTAGCATATGTGATACTCAAGGTAAATTTCAAGTCAAAATAAAAATCTCAAACATGCAACTGAAATCTCCCTGGAGATTTTCTCTCTTTAAAGTCTCTTACCGTTTCTAAATTATCTGAAGTTATGGGTTCAGGAGTGTTCTGAGAAAAAAGAAGGAGAAATTAATTCACAATGGGGTTGATGTATGTTCCCCTCCCCCTTTAATCTGAGATGCTGTCTCTTCTCCCTGAATACTCTTGTGAGTAGGAACTCGTTCAGTAGACACCAATATGTGTGTGGTCCTCTGGCCAACAGGATTTTAACATGTGATCTCCATTCTCCAGGAACTTAAAACGTAGTTGTGGAAATCACATAGTGACGGTAAGAGGAAATATGAATGAGCAGAGGTAGCATCACAAAAATCTAGGTTGAAGTGAATACTTCTGAATGGCAAATTATATTGACAGTGTTGACAATTTTATTTAATTAACTCTAAATGTAACTCACAATACATGAACTGTCAGTGTGACTGGCATTAGTTGGCTGCTTCTCAGCATATGGAAACTGAGTGAATTAGGGTGAGGAACCACCCCAGTTCCAAGATGCTTTTCCAGGGGGATAATAAATGAATCCCTCCCAACATATATCTGTCGGGCATCTGAGTATGGTACCGTGGGGCTGGTTGATAAAAGAAGCAGAAGGTATGGTCTTCACAATCCAGAAACTTATCATCTGAGACCAAAATAATAACAATAAAGAATAAAAACAACAGAAATTTCTCATCTAGTTAAGAAAAAAGGACTTTCATGCACAGCACGATAACTAAAATTCAATGTAGTGTGTGTGAGGTGTCAAAAAAGAAGTACAAAGAATAACTTCTGTAAGAGTTGAGAGGACAATCTCTGGGCTGGTAACACTCCCAGTCATCCAGTCGCACAGGACTACAATCTCCTCCGGCCCCTCCCCACCCAAGACATTCACTGCTGAAGAGACATTCATCTCTTCAGAGCCGCTAGGTGAGTCAGCGTGCAAGTGAGCCTCCATTGCCTAGAGTCATCATTTCACTCAGTCTTTAGCGCCTAACACAATATGTTTTAAAGGCGTACTCGGTAATATTAGTTGTTGGTTAAAAATACTAGGAAGTGCACATCAGATAGCTGAGCAAATTAAGTCTTAAAGTAATATTTACTGAGGAACTGTATTTTAAAGACATGGCACGGGAATCACATATAATCACATATAATTAAACCGAAATGGCAGAGCTCCCGCTTTCTAAGAGTAAAATGAAGAATATGTGTACATATTCCTGTACAGAGAAAGGGGGTGATGTTGGTGGAGAGGCAACTCCCAGACACGGGAGATCTGCGAGGCCCACTCCCGAAGACACTGTGCTTTTCAACAACTGATTGTAACCAAAGCAAATCCATCTGGGAGACACGGGTCAGTGTGCCTGTCCTTCCTGAAATTCCAAAGAGGATTGAGGCTAGATGTGGGTCAAGGGTAGGAAGAAACTTAGCACTTGAAACAAGATGTTTCCTACCAGTTGTGGCTGTCTGCCTTTTTTCTTTGGATTCAGAGCAAGTTGGGGGTGCTCCACTTCCCTGAGCCAAGACTCCTTGGGCAATTTGTACACATCCAGCCAAATATCTCCGGCCCCTGCATTGGGAAACCAAAGGAGCCGTTGAGCAACTGCAAGCAGGCGACAAGTTTCCTCTGAGAAATGGCCTGTCTTCTCAGAACCCCTGGCACGGAGACCAGGAGACACCCCTGGAAAAGCAACTTTGACCGACCAAAGGAGACGTCGTTCTGCCGGTCCTCACTCCTGGAGAGCTGGTGGTCCTCCTGTCCAGCCCCCCGCGCTTGAAGGAAGCGGACTTTTCAAACTCACTGCACTGACCTAACAGTCCCTAACCAAATTCTCCTGGGCCCGGTCCCCATCTGTTATAGGTTCCAAATGGTAAATTCTACTGATATTTCTGCCTTGCAGCAATTCCTGTCTGGGGAGGAAGGTGGCATGTACAAAATCAACAACTGGGAGGGATGTGGCTGAGAGAGGTTTAGAATTGGGATAGATGCCTCTAGAAAATTCTTCTGACCAGTATTTAAGGACATGACAACTCCTGGGGTTTGTCTTGTCATAGAAGTAAGCTCAGCTTCCATACTGAATACCTGCCAACCGGGGAAAGGTTGCTTTCCCGTGGATGGGATTCTGGCTAAAAGTTTCCTTAAAGAAGTGATCACCGGGACACCTGGATTTCAGACTTCAGGTCTCTGGTACTGCGAGAGAATAACTACCTGTTGTTTGAAGCCACCCCGTTGGTGGCATTTTGTTCTGGCAGCCCTAGGAAGCTACTACAGATAGTATAAAAGTTTCCTTTGATGCATAAAGCATTATGAAGTATATATCTTCCTGAAGGACTTTAACATTTGATGGGCCTGGGGCAAGGGTATAAACAGAGGCCCATGAACCATATGTCTAAACATTTAAGTTAAAAATCAAGCTAACAATTGGGCCGGCCGAGTGGCGCGATGGTTAAGAACTCGCTTGGGACGCCAGAGGGCCCCGGTTCGGATCCCACATATGAGGGCCAGTGACACTGCCCTCTATAGCTAAGATGCTGAACAACAGCTCAACCTGGAGCTGGGCTGCTGTCAGTCGCCGGCGACGGCATAGGCTGCAGCCCCTGTGGCAGTGGGTTGCCATGGGCTACCATGTGTAGCCAGCAGCCACAGTGAGCGGCCGTCCAGAAGCCGGCAACTGATCTGCCTTGCCCGGGAAGAGTGCAATGATGGTGCCAACTTGGGCCAGTGAAGCAACGTCCTCCACAACTAGACTGAAGAGCAAAAGGACAGCAACTTGTCTGTTTCCCTTCCCCCAATTCCCCAGCACTGTTCCCATCCCCCACAATTCCCCAATAAAAATCTTAAAAAAAAAAATCAAGCTAACAATCATTTGAATAAAATATGCTCTAGCACATAGTAACAATTGCAGCTAGATCCAATGATGAGTGCTAAAATTGATGGACAAAACTTTAAGGAGAAACAGGATATTTGCAGAGTCTCAAGGTATCTCCTCCCCAAATGTTTATCAATTACTGTTGTGGTTTCAACATACATCTAAAAATTCTTTGATCCTGCTACCTCCAGAAAGTGGTGCTTAAATCCTTACTCCTTGAGTGTGGCCCGATTTAGTGACTTGTTTCTGACAGAGTTTGGAGAGGGAAAAACAGTAGCTCAACAGTGGAGGAACCTGGCAGACACCACTTTAACTAAGTGGTCAAGGTTAAGATCAGCAATACTGAGTCACGTTGCTATATCACCTACCTCCTGATACAGTGCAATGAAAAGAGCACTTCACCTCTGTGTAGCTTCCCTGTAATCTTTAACCCCAGTGGAATCATGGGGAAAACGCAGACAAACTGAAACTGAGGGACAATGCATGAAATATCTGACTGGTGCTCTTCAAAAGTGTCAAGGTCATGAAAAACAAGGAAAGACCAAGGCACTGTCACAGATAGGAGCAGACTAAGGAGACATGATAACTAAATGCAGTATGGTGTCCTGGATTGAACCTTGGAGCAAAAAAATTGGATCATTGGAGAAACTGGTAAAACCGCCCAAAAAACTGTAGTTAATAGTATTGTACTAATTTATCTGCTTAAGTTTGACACATGTACCATGGCTCTGTTAAAAGCTGGTATTAGGGAAACTGGGTGAAGAGTATAGGGGAGCTCTGTACTGTCTTTGCAATTTCTGTAAATTATTTCCAAATAGGAAGTTTGGGGGGGAAATGATTGTCTGGAGACAATGCAAATCTGAACTTTCTTAACAGTCTTTGGTTCATCTTGCCTTGTAGTAGGAAGGCTGCAAAGTCCCCTCCTTGAGAAATCTCCATCTTTACACAGGTGGCTTGCTTGCTGGTGTCATCCTGAAAAGAAGAAAGATGCTGCTGGAATAAGCTCGGCCTGACGACGGCGGCGCAGGCGGTAGGTAGGTTAGGCCCTGTGTGGTTCCCAATTCCCAACAGCGAACGGAAATCCTTTCAAAGCTCTAGTCATGAAAAGATGCCTTTTTTTTTTTTTGAAGATTTTATTGGGGAATTGGGGGAGAGGAACAGAATGGGGAATCGGGGAAGACAAGTTACTGTCCTTTTGCTCTTCAGTCTAGTTGTGGAGGACGTTGCTTCACTGGCCCATGTTGGTATTATGCTCATTGTGCTCTTCCCGAGTGAGGCAAATCGGTCCCTGGGCCATTGGACGGCCGTTCATGGCAGCTCTTGGCAGCTCACGCTGGCTGCCAGCCACTCACGGTGGCTTATGGCAGCCCACTGCAGTTTCACTGCAGCCTACGCTGCCACCGGCTACTCACAGCAGCCCCACTCCAGGTTGAGTTGTTGTTCACCATATTAGCTGTAGAGGGCGCAGCATCACTGGCCCTCATGTGGGATCCGAACCGAGGCCCCTGCTTCTCAGAGCTGGCGTCTCAGCTGGCCACTCAGCCAGCCCTAAAAGATGCCTTTTTGTGGATATGTTTTTATTCCTCTTGGGTAAATACCTAGGAATAGAATCGATGAGTGATCAATTGAACTTTATAAAGAACTACCCATTTTTTGAAGTGGTTGCACCATTTTACTCTCGTACAGCAAAGTATGAGTTTGTGTTGCTGTGTATCTTGGTATTTGATGCTTCTTTTTCATTTTAAGCACTGTAATAGGTGTGTAATGGTGTCTCATTGTGGTTTTAATTTGCATCTTTCTGTTAACTAATGATATTAGGTACTTTTAAAAATCAGTTATTTGTATATCTTCTTTCGTAAAATAGTGCAATTCTTTTGCCTATTTTTTATTGAGTTGTCTTTTTATTATTGATTTGGAGTTTTTTTATATATACTGGATATACTTTAAAAGATATATACGTTGCAGATATTTTCTCACAGTCTGTGGCTTGCTTTTTCATTTTCTTAACATTGTTATAATACTAATTATTATCGGAAATAATTATAAATTATTACTATTAAGAACTTTATTAACAGATACTTGCATTTTGTTGACTTTTTTGGGGGGGGAAGTGAGCTATAATATTTTATTACAAATTAAAAATGAGGTTCTTAAAAATAACTTGGAGGGCTGATCGAGTGGCTCAGTTGGCTAAGAGCTCGCTCAAGAGTGCAAGCTCTGAGCAACAGGATTGCCGGTTTGATTCCCGGCCCGAGCTGAGCTGCTGCTGAGCTGCCAACAGATGGCAGGATGGCTCAGCTTAAAAAAAAAATCTCAACTTGGCCAGATTTAAAACAATTTTAAAACCTTTAAAGCTGGATTGAGAAAAACCAGGCTTTTTTTTTTTTTTTAGATTTTTTTATTGGGGAATTGGGGGGATGGGAACAGTGCTGGGGAATTGGGGAAAGGGGAACAGACAAGTTGCTGTCGTTTTGTTCTTCAATCTAGTTGTGGAGGACGTTGCTTCACTGGCCCAAGTTGGCACCATCATTGCGCTCTTCTCTGGTGAGGCAGATCAGTCGCCGGCTTCTGGACGGCCGCTCACTGCGGCTGCTGGCCGCTCACGTTGGCTGCTGGCCACACACGGTAGCCCATGGCAATCCACTGCCACAGGGACTGCAGCCCACGCCATCGCCGGCGACTCATGGCAGCCCAGCTCCAGGTTGAGCTGTTGTTCAGCATCTTAGCTGTGGAGGGCAGTGTCACTGGCCCTCATATGTGGGATCCGAACCGGGGCCCTCTGGCATCCCAAGCGAGTTCTTAACCATCGCGCCACTAGGCCGGCCCAAAAACCAGGCTTTTTTAAAAACCCATTTGGTATTACCAAAAAGAGACACCTTTAGGTAAAAAATAAAAACCAGATGCTGCACAGATAATGCCCATAGTTCTGGTTATCTGGAAAACTAAAAAAAGAAGCACTAAAGTCTTCTGCTCCCATCCTTAATTCACTTCATATTGCTGGAATTTCATATTCATTGCCTGTTGGATGACAGACTGGGAGATGGTTCAGGTGGTCAGCCTCAGGGGGTGATGACTTCTCAGCTGAATTCTCACTGCGTCCCTTGGCCATTTTGTGGCTTCGGTTTTCTGTGCTTTTGTGTTGGTAATTGAGTCGTGGGGATTTGGTGTTGAGGTGGGGTCTCATCTCCATGATTTTCCTTCTCTTCCCTGCTGTCCTCTCCAGGCTTGGGCAAAGACGAGAGCCCCCCGGTTTCTGTCTCACTGGTCTACACTGTTCTGCGCCCTGCTTGTCAGCCCCTCCATCTCCTGCAGTATTTGCAGGCAGGGTGCCAGGAACAAGGGATACACGGGTGAATAAGACACGTCCCCTGCCCTCGGGGAACTTACAGCCAGGGGAAGTCACATGAACAAATAAGTATGGAGGGTGGAGAAAACATTGGGATAGAAATTCTGTTCTATATGGGGGTGACAGAAAGGAGGATACATCAGGAAAGTATCTCAGAGAAGGAGATATTGGAGCCGGTCTTGAGGGAGGAGAGAAATTGAAGAAGCATGTATAGTAGGGAGGGAGGGAAGGAGAGCACTCGAGGCGTAGGGGACAGGATGTGAAGCAGCCTGGAACCTTTAGGGACCTCTAAGTTGTGATTAGACATGTTGGTCTGGCGCTCAATTTGGACTGGAGCGTCTTAGGAATTTTATTCTCTTGACAACAGGAGGCATTCAGCATGTACCCTCTAATGGTGGGGGCTCTTTTAATGGACCATTTCAGAGGAGGCTCTCTGACCAGGGAGGTCTCTGTTTGTCAGGATTCTGGGACAGCTGTCATCGCCTCCATATTAAAAGTAAACTCGATTTGCTATAGCTTTTGGCCCAGCTATGGGAACTTACCACTTCATTGATGGCTTTGATGAGGTAAAGACCATCCTTATAAAAATAAAACAGTCTAACGATACCTGAAACAGAAAAATAAGTAAGAATGTAAGACAGACAAGTGAGCCAAAAAACAACAGGAATTTTATATGCGACTTTCTGAAGTCATCATCATAAGCTCATGCATCCTTAGGCCACCTCCCTGGCCCCTCCACTGCCCGTGATCACCTTGGTCTCCCTGCCTTCCTCCACCCTGCACTTGAAATGTTCAAATTCTTCTCCCTCCTGAGTCCTCTGCCTACCCTGGCCCTACCCTCTTCTAGAAGCCTCCTGCGAGCGCTTCAGCCACACGAGTCCACTGCTTGACTTCTAGCCACCTCATACCGCCTCGCATTGTTATCCGTCTGTTTCCTAGGGGTGTTTTTTTTATTCTTCTAGTGAGTTCATAGATTTTGTGAGGGACGGGCTCATATCTCACTCTTCTACGTGCCTCATCCCTCAACCCCCGACAAGCTCACTGTGCAGTTAATTTTGTTGATTTCATAAGTAATTCTGTCATTCTCATTCCCATGTAACCAGAGGGCTCCAGTAGAGGGTCATCATCCACCATGACTTCTTACCTTTTTTAGGCGCCTCCCAGACACTCAGAACCAGCCCCTCCACCCATAACAGACCCCGTAAAGGCATCCTGCCCACTGTGGATCAGAGTCTAACTCAACCCTATAAAACTTCATGGGATATCTGCTCCACGACCATGGATGTGCTGGGGAAAACCAAGGCAGTCTCTGTCCTCACATTCACCCCACTGAGTGTCACTCAGACCTGAAACCAACCAGATACAATGCAGTGCCATCCTGCCTTCAGACCCACCTCCTCCAAGTAGCAACGTTCCCACTCCAGGTGTCTCAAGGCTATGCGCTCAGATGGAACCCTTCAGCTCACAGAGCCCGGAAGCCTTATTCTCCTCGAACGGCTACCGAGGAACGGCTTCATGGCTTCATCATTGTCCCCATTACTTCTTTACTTCTCCTGACTTCCCCACCCCATACACACATTCCATCACTTACCAAGCTTTTCTATTACATTATCCTTCTCATTTCTAAAGATTTCTATTTTGAACTCATTTTAGACTTATAGAAAATTTGCAAAAATGGCACAAAGAATTCCCTTACCCCACTTCCCCTAACGTTACCATCTCACATAACCATAGTACACTTCCTCTTTTCACCTGAATGACCCCTGCCTCGGTTCAGACCTGCATAATTTCTGTCCTCAATGAATACAATAGTTCTCCCTGGTTTCGCTGCCTCTCGTTTGGACTTTTCCAAGCTCCTACTATACGCCTCTGCTCAAATGCCAGTCAGGCCCTGTCACTCACCCTCAGAAACAGTGTCCTTCAGGACACTGTCTATAATTCTCTGAACGATAGTCCCCAGGAGGCCCTGGTTTGTCCTCAGGCTGAGGGGAAAAAAGCAAGTGCTGGTGTATGTGAGTGGCAGGTTGGCAGTGTGCCTGCAGGGTATGCACTCTGGGGCCACACTGCCTGGTTTGAATCCTGCCTGTGCCACTTACTTTCCACATTACCTCAAGTAAGTGACTTAACCTCCATGCCAAAACAGGAATATTAATCATACTTACCTCCTAGGGATGCTATGAGGGTTAAGCGGGCCAAATATGTGAAATGTTGGAATGGTGCCTGGTTAGTTACTACAGGGAGACTCTCGGTGTCTGGCCCCGCCCACACCTGGGACAGAGATTAAATTGAACAGCAGTACAGGTACATGTAAACTAGGCTACAAGGAAGATGAAGAACAAGTACCCATCTCATCCACAGGAGCAACAAGTATTTCACTCCCCCAATCTGTGGCCCAGATGGAAGTGACATCAACCTTAAGTTTCTCCCAAACACATATCCGTTTGGCATTGTACAGATTATAGATCGAGAATCCTTTGGCTCCTCCAATAAACACATAGTCTTGGCAAACAGCCATACAATGTGGCATTTTGTTGAGCTGTAAAAACAAAAAACAAAAAAAGGAATGATTTTCAGCTGTCACTGTCTGCACGTAACATAAGCTGACATTTCAAAGAGGGATGTGTGCCCTTCCTAGATAAAATTTCATCCCCAAACGTAGGGCTCACGTAAATATCTCGCTCACGTATC